AATGGTTTTATTCCATGCGGATAATTTTGGGCTTCTTTACTTGTCTTTTTTATCCCGAACCGTTTAAAGGTTCAGAATAGTTTTATTCCAACTTCAAAATGGCGCATAATTCTATGCCGTATTGTATTTTTTGTGCGTTTTTTTGCAGATATCAGAAGCGTTCAACATAATTTTCAAGGGGCTTCAGAAGGCGCATAATTTGCGCCCACTTTAGCCTTTTCACGTGTATCCATTTTTGTCCGTAGTGACCAAAACCGCGCTTATTTTCTTTTTTGTAATTAACATAACTACAAACCGAAAGGGAGAGAATTGGTAAAAGTACCAACAACAAAGGGGAAGAGTAAAATAAATGCAATTTGTACGCTGTACTGAGCCTCTGGAATAAAGCTACGCTTAAACCGTAAAAGTTATTGCAAGTCGTGCACGAGTTTGACACAATTTTATTCCAGGGTCCCAAAATAGCGCATAACTTTCTCGAGCGTCTCCGTTTTCGTTCGTGTTTATTCTAAGTCTTGTACTAATGTAACACATTTTTATCCCAGGCGTGTTCGTATTTATTCCAAAGCATGCACGAGTTTAGTATAATTTTATACTTGGGTCTCAGAACAGCGCATAATTTGCGTCTACTTGATTCTTTTCCTTTATTATTATTGGAGTGTTCCAATTTATTCCAAAATCTACACGTTTAGTACAATTTTATTCCAGCGTTTCAAAACAGCGCACAAGGTGCGTTCCTTCTCGATCGTCTTTCTTTTCGTTCGTATTTATTCCAAACCTTGTACGTATTTAACGCCGATTTATTCAAAGGATTTATTCCAAATCATGTACAGGGTGGCCAACTAAGAATGCGAGGTACTGTATCTGAGAATCTATCCATCGTAGAGGCTTGCGGTAAAAAAATGTATTACTAAAACCACCACGAGCAAAACCTGAAAAATATTTTTAAGTTTCTTAAATGACCGCTAGGGGGCGTAACTGATGTTTCTGTGAATTCCGCTATATACTATAACCTAACAAAAAAATGTCCGGTCTTTGAAGTCGACGATAATCTGAACAATTTGTGTTTGACAATTTTTCTTGTATCTCTAAAAATGAAGTGGTGGAGGGTATTCAAAGGTTTCCGTAAAGAACACCCTATATCTTCGAAACGGCTGAGCCGATTTAAACAAACTCGGGTTAGTTCAAAAGAGCTATTCTTCAGCTACAAATATTATACTATTTGAAGTTTTGTTAGTTTCACATATCACCGCTTGGGGGTTTTTTTCGACATTCCGTCACAAATGGTTAATTTTCTCAAAAAAATTAAGTGCATTGGTTCGATTTTTTTTTTCATGAAAAAGTAGCTATAAATGATGCCTAAACAAGCTCGCGGCAACCTCGCCAAGCGGCGATATGTGAAACTAACAAATCTTCAAACATTATAATATTTGTAGCCGAAGAATAACTCTTTTCAATTATCCCGAGTTTGTTAAAATCGGCTCAATCGTTTCGAAGATACAGGGTGTTTTCTACGGAAACCTTTGAATCCCCTCCACCACTTCATTTTTAGAGATACAGGAAAAATTGTCAAAAAAAAGGTTCAGATTATCGTCAACTTATTTTTACCGCAAGCCTCTACGATGGACAGGTTCCCAGATACAGTACCTCTAATTCTTATTTGGTCACCCTGTACAGGCTTAGTATAATTTTATTCCATGGCCTCAAGAGAGCGCATAATTTTGGCATACTTTATCCTTCTCGCGGGTCTCAATTTTGTACGTATTTAACACATTTCTTAGTTTTATGTTTAGGTATGCCGATAATATACGAGTTTAATAATTTTATATCAGGCGCACAATTTTCGCCTACCTCATCTTTCTCCAGTGTCTCCCTTTTCGTAATTGTTTTTTTCTCTAAATCATGTGCTTGGTAGGCATAATCTTTCTCGAGGTGACCCAAAACCACGCTTAATTTGTACCATATTTATTTTTTTGCGCGTTTCCAAAATGTTAAAACCGCGCATGATTTTCGCCGATTTATCCTTATCAAGTCTCTCTTTGTATTGTTGGGGTGTTCTTTTTATTCCAAATCATTTACGGGTCCAAATTTTGTAAAGGTTTAACAGTTTTATTCCAAAGGCTCAAAACGGCGCATAATTTGCGTCCACTTTCTTCTTCCTTGCCGTCTTTCTTTTCATTCGTATTCGTATGTACGTACAGGAATAAATATCTACGAATAGAAAGAGACCTGTCACGTGGCTATGATCATGGAAAGCTCAAAGGTTAATGGTCTCATTCTTTTGTGGTCTCATATGTCATCTTTCAGAGCATTCGAGGTCAATGGTCCCATTTTTGTAATTTTATTTTCAAGGTCATCAGAGGTCAATGGCCACATTCTTGCGGTGTCATTTGATTTCCAAGGTCATCAGAGATAAATACTCCCATGCTTTTTAGTATTATATTTCAATTTCAAAATCATTAAAGGTCTGTCGTTTTGAAGGTTATCTATGAGGCGCCATTTGTGTCAAAATAAAACCTGTGAAATATATATCAATATTTGAGAAATATAAAACATTTAAGCAGATATGTATAAAATTCCATTAGATATATGTAAATTTTCTTTGTATATTTAAACATATAATTGATTATACATATAAGAAACAGCAGTGGTATATATATAAAGTTGAAACTAGAATATTATATAAAGTCAAGTTCCTAGAGCGGCCGTATAGTGGCGCTCCGTGAACTAAAGGACGCGTACGTCGTGTTGTATCTGTTACCTTTATATTACTACACTACACTTTGTGTTGTTTTTAACAAGTACAAGGTGGTAGGATATTTGTGTATGACAGCTGACAACATAAAATGAAATGGGTGTGTCATATGATCACCGATGTACGTTGCCTTACGTCAATGTGCGCCACCATGCGGCCACTTGACGAACGCGACTTTATATTACGTTTTATTTAATTATATATATATGTTTCCTGCTTCCTTTTGTATATATATGTATATATATATATATTAATAAATAGATTTAATATAGCTATGAAAGAAATCTGTCCATATCTAACCAAATTTGATGCATATCTGCCTAAAAATGTTATACATCTGAATTATCTACATATATTTCGCAGGTTTTATTTTGACACAAATGGCGCCTCATAGTTATCACAGTTCAATTTTTCTGGTGTTATTTTTCAATTTCAAAGTCGTCAAAAGTCAATGACCCAATTTTTTGGGGTGTCATATTTCATTTTTAAGGTCATCAAAATTCAATGGCCCCATTCTTTGTGGTTGCATTTTTCATTTTCAATATACACCTACCACATGTAACAAGCTTATTGAAAATGGGTCAAATCCAATGACACCGTAGGGTCACACCGAGGTGCTCTGCCGCTTTTTTAGATGCGCTTTAGGGTTTATTAAAGGTGGATCATTCCATCACAAATTTTATATACTGTGTAACATTTTATTCTAAGGGTTGAAAATAGCGCATAGTGTGTGCTTACTTCCAGAGCGTTTACCTGTCTTCCAAATCTTGGAATGGTAGTTTTATTCCAAAGGCTCAAACTGGCACATATTTTGTCTTTTTCGTGCGTCTTCTTGTGTATTTAGATTTATTCCATCTTGAAGGTGGACCAGACGGCCATCAATGTTCGCTGTCTAAAAGGGGCCCCCCCAGCAATTATTTCGGGGGGGGGGGGGGGGGGGGGGAGTGGAACTAGTTTTATCCTTCATGGTACTCTAATGAAAGGTCTCGACGAAAGTAATTAATTTCTACCAACCATAACCCTCCTCCTCGACCTCTTATTGTGATCGGGTATATTCCCTTATACCTCAAGAACGGATTGTCGGAAGATTGTGTACTCACAAAGGGCGATTGAGACGTCTGCAAGAAATATATCCATTGGTGATGTCAAAACAAAAGCTATTTCGGTTTAAAAAAATGCGCTTTATCTGCACAAGAGCTGTGCACAATTTATATTTGTTATTCGTATAGCAAAATGTTTATTCCAGCAGTTCAAAACGGCGCATAATTCGCGGAAATTTGTAATTTTTTATATGATTGTAATTCGCTTAATGCGAATACCACACTCACTTAAGGGACACCGAGAAGTAAGTGCGAGAACGATTTATCACCCTTAACCGTCTTGTAATGGAAATTGATGACATTACGAAATACAAATAAATAACTCGGTTAGTTTCACTCGTAATTTCTGAATTTCAATTCGAGGCCCGCTCCACAAAAGCGACGGAAAAGGAAATATTGAACGTCTCCTCAACTCTGAAAACTCTTCTGTTATGCGATCCTTGGCGATGTCGGAAAACAATATTGCATTTCTCCCGCTCGAATATTATTCCATTAGCCTTCTTCAAATCCTTTATGCAAAGACAAGGTAGACATTTTGAAGAGTTTCGATGTCAAGTCCGGACTGCTTGTTGTCTGTGTCCCAATAGGCGTAGGCAATTTCCTCAACTGTCAATCTGTCGATTTATTTACCCACTTTGTTCCATCGCTATATGCACTTACCTCCGACTTTGCATTTTTCGTCGGATAATGCAAATTTTGAAGCCTTAAAAGCTTTGAACGTTTTTAAGGATGGATCGGGGACTAATTGGTTTTTAAACTTTATGGCGTTAGCTTAAACGCTTTTCGAAAGGCGTATTATTGGCAGCCGCAATGCGATTTTTATTGGGATATCAAGTGAAACTGGGTTAAATATTCCGAATTTGATGGACGATCAAAATTTGATGGCCATCGTCACGTTCGACAATAGCTGTCATACGTTTTCGTCGTTCCGTTGATGAATCGATAAGTTCAAATATCGCGAAACTACGAGATTTCAAATTTAATTATTCAAATTCAAGGGGGCGTTACGGTTAGCCCCACAAATAACAGTTTAGTTACCATTTTCCATTTGGGTTCCATTCTTGTAACTAACGCGAGCGTCAATGAAAAACTACCCTCATCCAAATGCAAGCCACCAACAGTTTGTAATTGCATAACCTTTGTTTCAGATACGAGCACGGTGACAATTTCGCCTTCGATGGAAAGGGACAAATTTTGGCGCACGCATTTTTTCCCGGTTCCGGCCGTGGAGGTGACGCCCATTTTGACCTGGACGAAAGTTGGATAGTACACGAGGATGACGCGTCAGACGGTACGTTTAGATATCAGAGAGGAGAAATATTTTTATGGCCCGTTAACGACGTTTTTTTTCTTCGCCCTTTGTGCGAAAGTCGGCTGCCACTTGCGAAAGATAAATTATTGGAGCGCACCATTTCAAATTTAGCTAACGAAAGGAAACAACGCGATAAATAATAACACCAATTAGATGTTATTCCGAACAATAACATTTTTTGTTAAAAGATACAAATTTCGTTTTTATTCCTTGGCAATTTATGTCGTCAGTTACCTATACTTTCTCTCGTTATGCGTACGCCCTCTAACTTTTTTCGAAATGCCAGGTTTAGTGAAATTTTCATTCATCAGTTTAAGAAAAACTTAATATTAATAGTTTCGCTATAGTTCAAAATACAGTTTTAGGCAGGAAACCCAAAATGAATTTCGCGAACCCATTCAAGTGAATACAGCACTATCAACTTTACTCATAATCTAAAAACGGTTCCTAAACTTGTCTATCCTAGTGTTACCTCCGCGTTGGTTACGCCACTGTTTGTTGATTTTTCTTACTGACTCGTTAACTTGTAGTTGCTCCTTAGGTTATTAACTCGTTGCATGAACCTACCTTTTTTCTTGCCTATATAAATACTTGTTATGTATTTTGTATTAATAATGTGGTATTGATGTACCCATAACTTAATTTGGGTTTATGACAATAAAATTTGGGAACATTGTGCTCAGATAATGTGCCAATTTTAAATATTCCTGATACGTTACCTGAATTATACGTTTGATATACCTACTGTCAAATGTAGGTCTGCTTTATTTATGATGCAAACGTTATAGGTTACAATATACACAATTCCTTGTAAGGTTTAAATCAATACACCATTTGAATGAAAAATGATATAATTGACCGCTAAACTCTGACGCGCAACATTTTAAACCATTCTTCAGAGAAACGGAAATGCAGTTCAGCTTATTTAATGTAACTAGAATACAAGACGTACCTTATCTGAAACCAGCCGGTGTAACTGTGACGTCACAGGAAAATATAGATAAATGGCCCTGGTTTCCAACGTAATTCCGGAAAGGTAGAACGACGACAAAGGCAGGATTGTCATGACAAAGGCTTCCTCCCAATCTTACATTCTTTTCACGGCAATCTTCAATTTGAATGGCTATTACTTTATAAATAATATCAACATTCACTATCATTAGGTCATTAAGAAATAGCCAATAGAAACAGAAGTACCTATGATTTCGTTGGTTAGCGACGCACAATATATCTTTGTTACTTCCCAATGATTTAAGGACAATGAACTTATGCTATTGATTGCATAAACTCACCGTAATTTTTAGGAGAGGGGGGCGACTTTGACATTTTATATGAAATGATGCACTTTTTGGCTGCTTGTACATTGTTGAATATGTATGAAAAAGCACTCTTGGAACAATATTTAGCACTTTTTCCACTAAATATACCTAATGAGATGTCGCTTAAAAATATACGTCAAGCTTGCCTTGGCTGCTTCACGCGTCTCATGGAGAAGAGAGAATCTTTAGGAGTCTAAACGCTTCTGGAACTCTTGGAGACTCTTTGAGCCTCTCGGATTCTTCTAGAGACTGTTTTGACTCTTTCAGGTCTCTCAAAGACATATAAAAGCTCTTAAATGCTCATAATGACTCTGCAAAGCAGGTTTTTTGCACTCTTAAAGCGCATTAATGATTGTTAAAGGATCATTAAAGGCTATTTATAGGCTCTCAACGTATATAGCATACTCTTGCAGTCAGAATTGGAGACTCATAGAGACACTTAAAAACTCTTAAAGTGTCTTGAGGTTTTGAACTTCTCAATGATTAATAAATAACTTCGAAGTCTCTAAAAGCATCTGTAAGGCTGTTGAATATGCCCTCTTCCAACCAGATATTCCAAATTGAAGTTTTGATCGTACTGACAGACCTTCAATTTTCGCTTGGGGAGTATCTCTGATTTGGAGTTTTGAATTTCGTCTCGTCTAGACCTTCAATTTTGCCGTTGAGAGTGCCCCCTTTAGACACTCCGTTCTCGAGATATTCGGATTTGAAGTTTTAAAAACGGATTTGTAATTGCGGGAACAGAAGGCGCGGGTGCACGGCCGGGTTAGACCGGCTTGACGCAATTAGGCTACTTACGTACACTTAAAGGTTTAAAGTCTCAAGATACTTCAGGAAATTCGTCTTGATGAAAACTCGTGAGATTTGTTGAAGATTCTGGCTCTTGAATGGTGCTTTTACAAGTTCGACGCTTCTGCAAGATATTTAATGACAAATACTCGTAAAGAACATTGTTGAAAAAGGTTGATTTTAAAAACATTTAAAATGCCTAAATAACTAGTTACTCACCTCAATGCACCACGCTACCACAACTCACTTATAAATATATAATTATAGCTTTAAAGAGTTTTGAGGATTCTGATATGTATTTGAAGGGTATTAAAAGTCCCTTTCAAACCCTGCTTCCAGAAGACTCTTGGAGACTCTTTGGAAACCAGTAGATACTATTTGCGACTTTTGAAGGCTGGTAAAAATCCTTTCAAATTCTTACAAGCTCAAACAACTCAAAAACGGTTTCCCTTAGAAAGAAAAGAGAATATTACGAACTTTAAAAGCTTCTGGAATATTTTTGGAAAATTTTGTGACTTGGAAACTCTTGAAGCTGTGACCTTTAAAGACTTTAAGGCTCTTAAAAGCTCTTCAAAGCACTTTTCTTACACACGTTTAAATCGTGTTTAAATCGTGTTTAAAGATTGTTAAAAAGTTTTAAGGGCTCCAATGGGGAGTATAGACTCGATACCTTAAGTCTCTAGAGAACCCTTTGGAGTCTCTTAGTCTGGTTTTAATGTTTTTTTAAATAATGCTTTTAGACGGAGACTCTCAAAAATGAATAAATATCTGTAAAGACCTTTTCAGCTTTTTGAAGGCGCTCCAAGGATTATACGTTCGTTAAATCTGAAGGTCTCTAACTCTCTTGCGGATACTTGTGGAAGCCTGCTTGCGACATTTAAAGCCTTTTTTGGGCCTATAAAGAGTATTAAAGGGTTTTATGAAACTAACTTTAAGAGTGTTTCAGAGACATCAAACGTTTTCCATCTAAAAGTCTTCCGCATCGCTTTTTAATAGCCTTTAGAGCCTCTAACGGGCCCTTAACATCCTTTAAGAGTCTTAAAGAACTTTAATAGTACATCTACATCTTTAAAACTCTCTACGCTTTTTAAGGGTCTCTAAAAATCTCCAAGATCCTATACATTTGTTTCTAAAAGTCCTTAAAAAGAATCTTCCCGAGCTTTTAAAATATTACAAGTATTTAAAAGCTTTAAAGGATGGCAAGGAATAATTCTCTTGAAATCTCATGAAGCTTTTTTAAATCCCACTTTTGAAAACTGTTGATGGACCTGAGTGACTGGTGGCACTTCCAGTTTCATCAGAGATTGATGCCAACTTTCTTATTTTAAATGGAACACCCTATGTATTATTTCATTCTTGAAAGGTGCTAACAGGCGGTCTCTCTAAAAATGCGTGTTTATTAAGGATCTTCGAGATAGTTTATAATTTTGTATTGCTATCTGTCTGTCTGTTCGTGTTCCACTGTACGTATTCTTAATCTATAAGAAAGGTTGATATTGTTTTTCAGCGAGGCCGCCGGGCCAAAAACTGCACATACTTCCAACAAAAGAGATGATTCTATATTTTGTCTCATTTTTGAGTTAGTAAATATGCCTTAAGCTTCAAGCAACCATGCAGATGAAAAAAATTATTTTCCGCATGCGCAATCTGACATTTTTATTTGTTAATACAGGGTGTCCCACGGTAAATGCCTCCTATCTACATCTTATTTTAAATAGAGCACCCTATATATTATTTCATTTTTAGGGTTACGAAAATTTCCATGAAAGCTGTTATTTATTTATTTATTTATTATCCCTCTCTAGTTCTGGGCTCTCAACAGGCTTGCGCCCAATTACAGAGTGACCCGCATAATGCTTTTTAGAGGTGCCTCTGCAGAGGATCTTAAGTTGTTCTATACTGCTCCGTTATTTACCTTACGAATTAGGAAAACTGAAGGAAAACCTAATTCGGAGTAGCCGGTAGAATTCTCGGAACCGGTCTAAGGCAATTTTCATCTCTGCCACGCTCCAGATGAAAAATTCACCTCAACCCAGGTTCGAACACCCGACCTCCGGATTTATAGCCCAACGCTCTACCATTGAACTATAAATCCAGTTATTTAATTCTAGCTGGTTTCCTTTTAGATTGATGCCGGTTTCGTATAAATACCGAGGCGTAAATCTGAAGGACTGTAAAAGCTTCTGGAAGGCTCTTAGAAACACTTGAATATCTTGCAAGCTCCTATTTGCGATTTTAAGGCGTTTATAACTAGGTACCGATTTAAATGTGCCCTTTGAAGCATTCTTCAATATGAAGAACATGCTCTTACAGATTTTTAAGGTTCGAGAACCAATTAGAGGTTCCGAACGTTTTTAGAAAACTCTTTACGTTTAAAGACTCTACAAACCTTTAGAAGACACCTTTAACGTTTTTGGAAGCTGTGAGAAATTGTTGGCGATAGTTAAAGGTTCTACAAGATTTGGATTATTTAAAAACCCTTAAAAGCCCATTAGATGTTCTATAAGCGACTAGAAAGCTATGTTGAAGACTTTTGAAGAGAAAACTACAGTGCTACAGTCTGAAAATGGGCTCTTGACAGACTCTTGAAAGCGTGACAACTAAATAGTATATTAAGTATGGAGAACGGTAAGGGATTTTTACCATTCGAAGACAATTGTTTGGAGGAGGAGCGAAGCGACGACTCCAATTATTGTCTGAGAACGGTAACCCTTAACGTTCGACGTGCTTATAACATTTTTTGCGCGATCGAAATTAAAATTATGCAACCAATATAAATATGCACTAAGAAATTAACGAGCAGAATAAATCGAAATGATCGAAGTGGTATGGTGTCAATCTCTAGGTAACCAGTTTATTTGTCAAAATTGA